CATTCGGGGGGGGGTAGCTCGTGGCTGTCTTTGCGCATGCGTTGGGCGCAAAGTTGGGCGCAGTCGGCCGCCGAGCGGCGAGCGCGGCCCCGGGGAAGCTCTTCGCCGAAGCACTTAGGGCGTCGAAGGAGACGCGAGGGGAGGCGCCTAGAGGCGGCGACCGCGGCGGCCGGACTTGCGGCGCGTCGAGTCGGACGGGATCGGCGTGACGTCCTCGATGCGGCCGATCTTCATGCCCGCGCGCGCGAGGGCGCGGAGCGCGGACTGGGCGCCGGGGCCCGGCGTCTTCGTCTTGTTGCCGCCCGTGGCGCGGATCTTGATGTGGATCGCCGTGACGCCGAGCTCCTTGCAGCGCTCCGCGACGTCCTGCGCGGCAAGCATCGCCGCGTAGGGCGACGCCTCGTCGCGGTCCGCCTTGACCTTCATGCCGCCCGTCACGCGGACGAGGGTCTCGCGGCCCGAGAGGTCCGTGACGTGGACGAAGGTGTCGTTGAACGACGCGAAGATGTGCGCGACGGCGAAGACCTGCTCGCCCTCGGCGACCTTGGGGCCGAGCGTCGTCACCTCCTTAATTTCCTCGGTCTTCTTCGACATGGTGTTTGGCCTGCGGGGCGCGGCGGCGTGAGACGGGCGCGGCGGCGGGGCGGGGTGCGCGTGCGCGGCGCGCGCGCGGGGCTGCCGCAGCGCGTCGGCGAGTGCGGCGCTCGCCGACGCTCTGCGGCCGCCCCCGCCGCGACAAAGTGGCGCGCAGCGGTGCGGCGCGATGGAAGGACGCGGGCGCGCACGAGGTTGGCGCTGCAGGGGGTCGTACAAGTACGACTGCCGACGCGCTCGGTGGAGATGGTGCTGATCGCTAGCGTCGCCGATCTCGAGCCGGGCCTACCAGGTAGGGCGAGGTCGAAGCCTGTGGCCGGGGGTCCCCAGGAGGCCTCCCGGGTGCTACTGGCGGACACTGCGCACCAGTAGGCGGCCAGTACACGCGCCACCATTATCCAAAAGTGCATTAGCGGCTCGTCACGGCGCTGCCCGCCCCGACGTGGCGCGCCTCCCAGCGCCAGGCGTCGCCGCAGGAGCACGCGCCGCCCTCGAAGACGTGCGTCGTCTTCTTGGCCTCGCGGACCGTGAGCGTC